TACCCTATACCCCACAGAAATATTGGTATCTTTTATATTTTTAATTTATGAATAACACTTACCTTCATTGGGGTTTGAGCCACTGAACTCTTGCTTCACAGTCCACAGTACTACCAATTATACCATCAAGGATTTTGTTGGTAGTAATGTTTGCAAATTGTTTTTATCTTAATTGTAATTTATTAATGAAGAATTTTTTTATATAATGCTGGCTCAACCCTATTCCCAACCCTAACCCTAACCCTAAACCTACCCCAAAACCTAACCCTAAACCTAACCCTAAACCTAACCCTAAACTGATTTGTACTGGATTGAGTTATATTGGACTGGCTCAAAATAAACTAAACCAGTTCAGAAGAAATTGAACTGGTTCAAAATCATATTGAACCTGAACTACAACAGATATATGCTAGTTAAAATATACCTCGCCATATTTGGCTGTAGAATAGTTCCATTTTCTTACTCTGTGCCCATCATATGCAAAGGAGTCATTTGTGTCTCCAACTCCTTCCTGGAATATAAACAATGGTAAAATGAAGTTTACTGGTCATCTCACTTTGATGCAAAAGTGGAGTTACCTCTTAAAATGGGACAGGGGACTGAGGGACGCCACAAGTTGTTTTGGTGTCATATTCATTCATTAAGTCATTCATTCATTCAAAGGAGATTATCATTTGTACCTCATTGGTAAATGTACAGCTTAGWGTTGCCCAACCAAGTTGCATAATTCCTTTTGACCCAAGTAGAATCTCATACATAAATTTCCCTAAAATAAAATTTATTTACATTTGCAAATTAAAATCTTAATTTATGTAAATTGTAATTAATCTTAATTTATGCAARTTTAAATTTTAATCATAAATTTTATAAGTGTTTTACTTATTGTTATCCTGGCAAGTTAGTTAGTTTAACACTTTACCTTTGCAGACACAAATGTTGGACCTCACACTACTGAAGTTACTTTGACTTTCAAGCTGTAAAATATACCAAGCCATTGAGGTTACAAATATATGGAGAATGTAGAAGTTTACCTTTAATATGTAACTTTTACCAAGTTCATCTCCTTACATTTATCATGCGGACTCACCTCAATGTTATCTTTAACACTCATTGATCCACAAAGACTGCTTTTATCAATGCCAACAACCAAAGGTCCAATCCTACCATCATTGATTGCTCTTTCTCTTTGATCTTGTTCTGTTGAAGCAGATTGGATTAGTATTATGAAATCCATATATAGGGGAAAGGGAAATGCTCATACCCAGGACCCATGCAACTCTTGGTCTGCCAGCAGAGAATGACACCTAGATACTCATTCTTTGGCAAAGGTGAAAAGTTACATGTACAATGTACATGTAGGTAATGAAAAGAGAGATATTCTTGGTACTAAAACTGTTGATCTATAATAAGCTAGTATGCATTTCAACATGGATCAGAGCCAATGATAGTGTCCAATGGTTTACCAATTTATGCATGCTTGGGTTTAATAAGATATCGATAAAAGTTGTCATTGCATAATTACCTGGTTGAACAGGATACTCAAACTGATTTAATATATCTTCAATGTGCTCCTGCAAGTTACTGTACTCAAGAAGTCTCCTGCATTATAACCAGATTAAAAAAAGAATTAAAAAAAGGCAAAATAAAATATCAAAACAACCTAAATTACAGTATGAATCGGTGGGATATTTATGGGCAAAATTATTTACMTTGGAGTAGCGATATCGTCTTTGTCCGGAGTTGGAAAAACAGACGTTAAAAATGCGTCCAAATCCATGTTTTTACTCCATAAAATGTCGATAAACACTGTTAGAATTTCAGTGTTGTTATTTACTGGCGACAGTAAAACATCAATAAATGAAATTTTTCTTTCATTGAAAAAACATTATCTTTATCATCAAGTAAAGAACGTCTAAGGCATGTTTTCTTGAAGATCTAGACATCCAGAAATGTTAAAATTCTGTATAATACATTTACATTTGCAAATCAACCTCACAGCTTGTTCGCCATCTTGTTTTTAAATTTGATATCCCGTCGCCCATCCCGCGCTTTGCGGAAAGCCACAGGAACCCCAAACACGTAGCGCATTTGTATTTTAAAATGTCTGTGCGACAATTGTTTTTGCTTCGTTTAGTAAATCCAATGTTTTTAAGAAGTATATTCAATCATTGTAGTATATTTTAATCATTTTGTTAAATAAATTCATGTAGTGAAAAGCGTACTTGGGATTCCTGTGGCAAGCGCAACGCTGGGAAACCGCGCACTTCACCATGCACCATGAGTGTGCATATTCGTGCGTGACTTTCTAATTTTGCGTATGACAGAATTTATCATATATTTTTTGCAGCATATTATAGATTTTTAGTTAATATCTTATTATGGAGTCAAATAATATGACGAGAATGCAAAAGATTACAAATCGGCGAGGTACAACCGAAACTGGAGATTTCTGCAACTCATTCTATGAAAGGTCCTCCAAACGTAAGCAAATGTTTGTTATAAAAGCAATGTTGCTTTAGAGTGCTTACTATTTTAACATCATTCCACAATATTTTTCTTGCCTTGCTTCATTTAGACTTTTCTGGCAAGACCAGAGTGACATGAATTTGAAACCGTGACAATGACCTCAGCTGCTGCATTTAGACATTGATGAAAAGGTAAGGAGAATTTAGCTAAAGATCATTCAGTCCAGATAATTCTATAGTTCTAAATCGCCTCTTTTAAATACGTTAAATATATAATTAATATATTAATATTGCAAAATAAGAACTTGTCCTCTGATTGTATTATTTTTAATGACTTTTGTTGACTTTTAAAGCTTAAACGTTCCGTACKAGTTTCAAATTCTCTCAACCATAATTCCTAAAACTGTCGTAATGTTTTGGGACTGTCCCTTGGATTCTTGGAATAAAATCTAGCGTATTGCGAATATCGAATTCAATTTCACTTTTGTTTAGCTGCATAAAGAGCCTCTATTCTTCCGAAGATCTTCTAAAAGTAAGAATATTGTTTTGCTTTTTGATATTTTTATATCAAAATTGCCGCAAATGAGTACAAAAACTTAGATCACAAGATGACAACTTGATTATTTAAGGAGACACGCGATTTTTTTGAGATCTAGGTCGACGAGTTACGAAAGAAAATTGGAATCGAAATGTTCGATTTGTTTGTCCAGCATTTTATCTCAAATTAACTCAAAATATTTTGCATTATTTTTTCTTAATTCATATTTTTAAATGTTGGCCCATAAGTATGTATATTGGTGGTGATTTCAAAAGTTGTTGAATAGTTAAGTTATATTATTATTAACTATATATTATATTTTTGTTTTAGTGTCAGGAGACGGAACGTCAAGTCTGGTGTTTGTTGATGCTGAAAATGGTGACGAAGATAGCATCGAAGTTGTACCATCATCACACGGAGAAGATCCCAATCTTGAAGTTCCTAGTACAGGTGGAAGTAAGGCTGATAGAGAGGATATAGTCCAGGTAAAATGGCAGGACTGCATTGAATTTGATAATAAAAACCTTCAAAATACGCATGTTCTTAGGTGGTGTTTGGTTTCTACAATGATAAGTCTCTTTACCGTATATATATGATATATACAATAATGTTATTAATGTAATATTAAATCTTATTCAGTGGTTTAATTGAAATTTTATTGACAATCTTTAGGCTGAAAAACTTCCTGACAACACAGTGAGGGGGCTGTTTTATAATGATCAAGACAATCTCAATACMCACAAAGACAAAGTAAAATCCAAGCCTTTATTAGGTACGTAATAACATTTACAATTTTTACTGAGGTTGATAAACTATTATTAAAGTCAAATATTCAATTTGTGATTRCATTCCCTTTATAGATGAGAAAATACAAAAGGGTATTACAGATTTAAATGGCATCTTACAAAAACAAGATTATCAATCTCTCCACCCTGTTGGCCAAGAAGTTAAAGGTGAGAAATCATGCTTATTCATTAAGTTATTTTTTGTTTTCAGTATCTTTTTTCTTCATGCCTGGTTTTCATTTATCCATACAGTCAGCAGTTTTCAACATTAAATTGAAATATTTTTTTCAGAACTCTTATCTGGAGCTGTAAAATATGCCAATGAAAGTGGAACATCTTTGAAAGCTGCAAGAGAATTACTTGATAGCAGTTTAGAAATATACAAGGAAGCTTGTGMAAGCTCGGCAGACAAGTTTGAACTCTCCAGCGAAAGCACAAAAGCTTTGGCAGAACATGAAAGAATTGAGAGAGAGAGGTTAGAGCTGCTCATCAAGAGAAAAAATCTTACTGATGCTAATTCAAAAAGAGAGGAAGGACTGGCAGTTATTGGTGAGCAAATTGATTTAAATTCATACAGTGCCATCCAGAGAAATGAATGGCTGTTTGAACAGACTAACTTTGTATGGTGGGACATGCATGGTACCTTCAAAAAATCAACTGTAATTGTCAGATTTTTAGTTTTTTTGCATTCAATCTCAAACTCTCCTTCTACATAATTCCTGCCTTCAAGTTGATCAAATTTTGCCTCACTCTTTATTTTGTTGCATCTTCTTTTTTATCAATTCAGAAAGAAGTATTGAGGCTGCCAAGGTGGATACAGTGAGAGTGATGTCCAAACAGGCAAAGGAGGAGCAGGAGCAAGTGTTGATRAAATTTTCTGAGAAGAAAAAGGAGATTGAGGAACAAGTTGATAATGARCTGGACAGCCTTCATCTCATCAGTCACAACTGTGAAGGGGACATTGACAGCATTGGTAAGTATCATGAGTTGCAATATTTATTTTCTTCTTTATTAATTACTGCAGTTGTTGTGTGTCCATAAAAACGTGTTGTCTGTGTTTAATACACAACACAGGTAGCCCAAATACACATTATATATTCTCATACACAGGTAATCCAAATATGTAAACACTAAACTGACTGTTTGCTGTGTTGTAGATAAAAGTTTGGTGACTCTTGAGCAGTCAGCTGAAGCTGCATTCAACAAGTACACTGAAAAAGAYAAAGAGCTTTGCTTGAAGCTACAAGAGAATAGAAATGAACAGCTTGAGTTGCAGAAGAGGCTGGAAGAGCTTTCCAATCAAGAAAAAGCCTTTGAAAATGAGAGAGCAGAACGAACCAATACTCAGAGAAAAGCTGAATTGGTAAGTACATCAGCCAGTGTTGGTAATTTTCAGTGCATTTGCCAAACAGTTGAAAAGTATGAAAATGTTCAAAGACTGTATATATTACTATATAATACTTGCCTACTTATTAGACCAAGGATAAGGCAAAAGATGAGCTTGAAAGCTGGAAAGGTCAGATTGAGGAACTTTATGGATGCTGCCAGGCAGCTTTGACAGTGTTATCTCAATTTAGAGGTAAATCCATTTTTTTTTTTCTACACAATGCTGAACAATATTACAACGTTATTTGTTTTGTTCCATGTTTTACAGAGGGAGCATTCAAGCTAATCAACAAATCAATAGAAAGYAAAGAACAAGAGGATAAAAGACTTCAAGAACTGGATGTATTGGCTCACAGAACTTTCAGAGATGCTCTAGTTGCAGCATGTATTGACTGCAAGGAAATTATTGGTCAATCAGACCAGACTCTTGCAGTAATTAAAACAAGGGTAAGGGTACTGAGTTACATCTGTGGTCCTTGTTCCTCCAAGTTATTAGGAGTGTAGTAAAGGACCAACCTCAATAGCAGAGTAAGAGAGAGAGAAGGAAACATTCAGAAGCACTTCTAATAGCATTAAAAATCAGAGCTGGCTTCTATAGAACTGCATCCCCTTTAATGAACACAAAATAATTCTGAGGATCATAGATATATATTAAGTGTGTAAGTGCATGAAGAATTTTATATATTATTTAATTTGTCATGATTATTCTTTCCCTGCAGATGGAAAAGAACAAAGCAGAGCTGAAAGATGCTTTAAAGAAGGGTGTTCACTTTGTTGCTGAGGAGCTCAAAGCTGAGCAAAGCAAAGTAAAGGAGAACTACAACAAATGTAAAAGCCAGAAAGCTCAAAATGAGCAAAAGCTGGAAGAATACAAGAAAGAGATTGCTGCTACAGATGAAAGATTAGAATCACTTGGACAAGTGCTGGAATCATTGGATGCWATATGTAAGGATTGATAATTTGTAGTTTTTTCAACACTTTTTTTCAAAAAGATCATATTTTCAAGATTGTTATAAAAATTGACAGTCAACATATGGCATTTAAGGAAAGTTATGTTAAAAAACTTTGCAATTTCTTAAATGCACAAGTGCATATGTATTCACAAACAGCAATCCAAAACTCTCTTTATTTTTGCCACCAAATACCCCATTTTGATGCTTGCACCTGCTATAGTTTTGAGTGCGCCCACACATCTAAACAAATCGTCTATCTTGACTGACGTACGTCTGTGCATTGATTATTTTCAGATGAGAGACATCAAATGGATGTTGATGCAGCATGGGAACAACAAGATGATGATGATACTGGYAGCTTAAACTCTCTAGAGAGCTACTAATMAAGACAGGTTGGCTCCTACAGAAAATTGACAAATGATAGCTGATGAATGAAAATTGCATTTCAAATGCAAAGAGCAACCATTGTACTTACAGTATTATTAGCATTTTGATTTGTATATACAGTATATATCCGCAGAGTATATTAGAACAACTTGTTGGTTGTAGTTGATTTTTTTAATGTAATTCAGTTTTGAAGTGAGTAGGAGAAAGACTCATGATCATGATGAATTGGAATATTAAAAAAAGGAATATTAAAAACRGGAAAAGGTAGATAGAATTTAGGATAAGAAATGGGAACATGTATATATAGAAGATGTGCAGATTATCAACATTGTGCATGATTTTGTGAATTAAAATTGCAAAATTATCATGAACTTGGAATTTTCATTGGTCTCCGAGAGCATTTACACAGACTTCCAAATAACTTGTGGACTGATGCACTTCCTAAATTTCATTGTCTTTTTTTCTACTGCTGTTTAAGAAATGTAAGATTGGTCTAGATGTCTCTCTCATCTAAGACTCGGTTCATATGTCATGTTATCATCATGCCGAACCAAGCAGTCAATTTGTGTTAACACAAATATATTTGGCATAGTCTGTGTGCAGGTGTTCCTCGTTGGGGGCCGGAGTGAAGAAATGGAAGAGAACACCGTTTGAATGGCATTGAATTCAGTATATTTTTATATTTTTTTTCTTAAATTAATTTTTCACRCAAACATTCTTTTACTTTTTGTGATTTCATTATAATCATTTTTTAAATGAACACTTTTTTTAGGAGCCCATTATACTAGAACGGGCTCCTGTTGCAAGAAAACAATCAAAATAATCCCCAMCGTACCCCTAKTAAGTCAATGCATAACCGCATTGTAAACTGCTCGCRGGCTCGTGTCAGCCATTGTTCAAAGTGGACGCTTTCACCATGTGATTAGTCTAGTGAAAAGAAGGACTTTTATGTTCTTAAAGACGCTTTAGTTTCTCTTCAAACAGCCTTAAGTGGCAGCCCTAGATGCAGTAAATATAAAAACCCTTTGATTTTGAGAAAGAAATCTAGTAAGACCTCGAGAGAAATGGTGAAACGAAAAAGAGAAAGCACGGGTCCAAGCGCGGTGTCTGATTCTGGCGCGAAAAGTCCCGAAGAAAATCCMGAACAAGAAGCCTCCAGCTCAACGCATGGGCGAGATAGAAAGCGAAGAAAGCTGTCTTCTACGAAAAGTAGCGATCCCGTGAGTAAAAATTATGTTTGATTTTTTTTTGACAGGTTTTTGTTTACTACGCACTGAGATGTGTGTGGTTTTTCGTTGTCGCAGTTCAACGGCTCGTGTCATAGTAGATCTGATACGAATTGTAAACATTAACTTTTATAACTCTGGCTCTGAAAATCTCTAAAAATAGACCATTTTGTCCGTATAAGTAGAAAAAGATAAGTCAACATGATCAAGAGAATTGTTTGGTGTTGTTAATTTCACTTTTGTACGAAAACATTGCGAGTTCCCTGACTCACCATATTCAGTGTTTTTTGTTCTGCTTTTATCCTATGTGCAGAATGTTTTCTTCTCAGCTGTGACTTTCATCTATAAAATGCACAAAACTGTGGAGGTGGMATTCTTTTGCTTGCAAATAAAGTATTCTTTCATAAAAATAAATAAAGCATTCCACCTCGGAATCAGGAAAAAGTGGTCGCTTACGAGAGATGGTCGTTTATACGAGAAAGTGTTTTTTTAACTCTACTTTATATGGGAAACTAAACAAAACGGGAAATTTAAAAGGTGGTCGCTTACAAGAGATGGTCGCTTACTAGAGTGGTCGTTCAAAGAGAGTTAACTGTATTTTGTTCATATTTTGTAACAGTTTCAATATACAGCATTTATTTTTTAATGAAATCCCTTGCTTTTTCTGTTTCTAGACTGACATTTGTGCAGAGTTATATGATGTCATAAGGAATTATCGGACAGAAGATGGCAGAGTGCTGTGCGAGGCTTTGATCAGAGTTCCCAAAAGAAGGTGCAAAAATTAAATAAAATTCCAACCACATTGTAATTAAGTTACTTGTAATTGAATATTCTGTTCATTTCTTGCTATTGTCTGGTRTCCAGGACAAGCCCAGAGTATTATGAAGTTGTATCCAGCCCTATAGACCTACTAAAAATACAGGTATTACCATATCCCATTCTTTGATTTAAAACTGAAAGAAAAAAAGAATGTTGAGGTTTATCATAACAAAGACACTGAAGCAGGGTGTAGAAACTCACCTAGACACTGTATACTATGTCATAAATACAGTATATTGTAAGGTTTTACATCACCTAGGTCAGCACAGCATTATAGTGAAACAATTTTCCATAACCAGGGCCGAAATAACTGCCAGTCAAAGCACAATGTCCTACCAAATTGGTTACATGTAGATGACCGGCCAAATCGGGTTTTGAAAGGACAAATTGACMTGCCACATTTTTAGACAAAGCAATTCTCAATTTGCTAAATAAATCTTTTATAAGCCATTAAACTGCTTGCCGGTCTTTCTGAATACAAAAACCTATAAATTAAAAGAAAAKTTCTTCCAATCACAAAGGCGTTTAAATCTCTAATTTGCCAGGTCATTGAGTTTGGGTATTCGTGGAACCAGGTCGATGACAACCTTTTGTCAATCGACTATATACCCTGTTCACCCTTATGGCCTCAAAGACAGTGTGAAGCATTGTAAATGAACTATAAGAAAGAGTAAATCCAGCATCTTGTACCCAGGGTACCTCTTATAGTAATTAAATTGTATTTTTCAGCAACGACTTAAAACAGATGAATACGAGGATGTAGAGACATTTGTTCAAGATGTTGAGCTTCTGCTTGACAATGCTTTAAAGTTCTACAAGCCAGAAATGCAGGAGTACAAGGATGCTGAACAACTTAAACAAGTATTTGAAGAGGAAAAAGAGTCAATTTTAAACATAAAAGACGATGGTATGAGATTATTTGAGTTAGTGTTATTGATTAAATAAATATTGAGGAACTCTTTCCTAGTTAAGGTWATTATATTTGTGGATTTTCATGGTGGATTTTTTTATTTTTCTTCCAGATCAATTAGATGATGTTATTTTAGATGATAAGGTTTGTAATTAAAAAATAAATAAAACACTTTCACACAAATACACTAAACAACAACAACAACTACAACAGAAACAATCAAAAGAATACAAACAAACAAACAAGGAGATTAAAATATTTGAATTTTTACCACAATTGTGTAAATTCTCGCGCGCTGATTGGCTGAGTGTGTCAATAATAAGAGGACATGCACACTGTTCTGACACCATCACGTCTCGCGCGCGCTCAATTGACAGAAAAGAATGATTCTCGTTAATTTTTAGACTAAAAAGTGGTAAAAAAATTGCACACAGTTTTTCATTGTATGTCCTCTTATTGACACACAATTAACGTCATAAAATGTTCAAAACTTTGCAGTGAACACACTTGCTGCGCTCGTGGGTCCACTGGAGTTTTGAAAATTTTATGACGTCAAGAGTATGTCAATAAGAGGACATACATGTACAACTCAATACCGTGCACAATTTGTTAACTTTATGCCATTTTTATTCAGGATGATCATGATGATGATGACGAAAGTGACACTGGCATGAAAACGCAGCACAAAGAGAAAGGAGCTTCTTCAAAACAGACAAAGAACCAACAAGGTGAACAGTTTCTACAACCCTAAAATATGATAAATTCATAGACTTGATTAAAGGGCTACTTGGACGAAAATTGCAAAACATTAGAAAAGACTTTGAAATCAAATAGAACTATCCATATGGGTCTAAT